AGGGGGCCATCCGGTCTTGCATGCGTGCGGAAGGGAAGGTGACATGGAGGGCGTCATGTCATGTTTGAGCCGATGTTCCTGTGAAATGCCGATATGGGCTTCCCTCGGTTGCAGGCAGCTTCCAAACTTCCGAAACGCGTACTCATCATATTTCGCTGGACCACTCGTTTTTTTATTGATGCGAGTAAACTGTCTTTTTGCTGCAGTACAACGACATTTGTTGGAAGGGTGCGCCGGACAACTTCCAAGGCCTAGAAAATCACTTCCCGTCGGCGGAGTTTGTGTTTGGCGACAACGCGCGGCTGTCCCTGCCGCCGCTGCGCTACCTGTTTGTATCGCGGCCGGGCGAGTATTGCCTGGGTGTTTTTGATAACGGCGGGTCTGGCACACTCATTGGCGGTGTTAGTGTCCGAGACGTCGTAGTTACGGTGAGTGAGGTTTGCTTTGCGGGAAGACGGCCGCACTATGCGGGAGGACGCCGGGAGCCCTTCAGCCATTCTGAGAGGAGGTGCATGTGCTTTTTTGGCATTTCGAGCGCAGGCCGCGTGTCTGCGCTGAGGTTTAAAGGTATCCTGTCGTTGTCCTGGTGTACAAGGGGTCTGCTGCACCAAGCTACCGCAGATGGAGTTGATCGTGGGGCTTGCGGCGTGTGAAACCGTGCCTCGGTCAGGAGGGCACATCCTTTTCGTTGCGCCCACCTGCACTAAACCCCATGTTCCATTTGCCTAGTGCCTTCACTTTTATGTCTCAACCCTACTTCACCGAAACGCGCCCGCGTTTCCGTGTGTCCTAGATGTTTAATCCCGAGGCTTTATGCCGCAATGCCCCCTGCCCCGCGGCGTCTGGCTGCCGCTGCATTGCGTTGCCCGTTGCATCGACGCCGCCGCAGTACGACCGCCGGAACGGCCGAGTCGGCTTGACCACCATGCCCTGCGAGGAGGTGGCGGCGGACCTTGCCTCGCGGCCCAACAGCACCCCGGCACCCGGCAACGTCACCCTCCTCGCATCGCCACCGCCTTCCGAGGCCAAGACTGAGCAGCCGCCGCCACCGTCGTCACCCTCAGCGCGCGTGAATTTTACAGCGGCACAGGATGCAGCCAGCCGAGCGGCTGGTGTTGTGGAAACGTCCCCAAGCGAGCCGCCGCTGGCGTTTTCGCGGGCTGCCTTAAACATTAACTTTGCTGTCATTATTGGTGTCAGTACCGCCATTGCGGCCTTGTTTACGGTGGGCGAGGTCGTGTTCCTTGGGCGCAGCACTCTAGGAGCATTGACTACAAAGATTGTGGAGCGTTTCAGTGGGCAAGGCAGCAGTCGGCTCGCACCGCAAGATGAAGCGGAGGCGACGCCGCTGACAGATATCCGGGAGGACGGGCACAGAACGGACGTGGAAGCTGCGGATATGGCTGCAGCCCCACCGATAAGACAGTGATTAAATGTCAGATGATTCTGCGACGTATGTGGGGGTCATGG